AAGTCCTTATAATCGAACGATCTAACTATCGCTTTGAAAGACATAGGAATGAATTCTAGTCCATCACAAATATACGAAATTATTATTATATACGAAATTATTATTATTATCACATATATACGAAATTATTAAAATTACTTACCGGCACTATCACGTAGATAGGATCCGTCAGCTCACCATCACCGGCCAACGAGTTGGCCCTAATGCGAAAGCTGTATTTGCCCTCGTTCAGGTTGGTGACGATGTAGCCGCTCTGATTAAGATAGTCCTGCACTGTGATACAACGTTTTTCCTCGACGGCATCCTGTTCCTGACGCTCAAAGATAACCATGTAGGAAACTATAGCACCGTTCGGATTCTGTGGCTCCTCCCACCGTAGGCGAACATTGCCCCGAGTGGTGTTCATGTTATCCACAAGGTCGCCAGTTAAATTAAATGCTTTGTCCACGTGCGCTGTAGTGGAGTACACAATAAGATTAGAGGGATCACTGCTTCGAAAGTTATCACTTTTGACGTACCTAGTTTCTGAGTTCTCTTCTCCAACGGTTCGGAATCGCTACACAGCTCCGCATTGTCATTCTCGCCCTCCTTATAGCGGCAGGCACGCACACTCAATGAGTAGAGAGAAAAGTGTCGCAATTTCCCAAACAGAAATTCTGTTGTATTCGCATCCACTTCGGTGACAAAGATTTTGTAGTAGGTTTCATTCGCGTCCATCACTGTAGCATTGCCCCACATTGAGTCTGAGAGGGTTGCATGTGCTTTGACTGCCCCAATCTCCGATCTGCTCAAATTATTTTCCGTAGATCGAATGTGACGCATGAGAACACTACTCATTTCGTGTGCATCCTCGTCAATTTCAATGTAGCGCCTGCTCCTGTGTTGCACAGCATTCGGGCTGTTATTGTCGCTGGGCAAGGTGGTGATATTGGCAACGTCACTATTATTACGCTTTTTTGGCACGTACAGGAAATTCTGGAGCGTATTCTCAAATTCGATTTCATCAAAGATTTTTGCTTCCACAACTTGTTGATCGAATACGTTCCGACCGCCCGCATCGCATTTGCAGTCAGGTCCTGGCGTCTCCTTAATCGTTTTCTCTGCAGGCGATGAGAAAGTCTCCTCATCGTCCGATGTATTCGGTAAAGCTGCAGGGATTAACTAGTGGCTTAGGCTTCTGCATTCTCAAATGCTTTGATCAACACTTACGATCCCGACAGAAGTTACGATGTTGCTCCAGTTTGGCGTCTCGGCGCCTTAGTTCGGCGCGTACCTGATACTTCGCTAGCTTGCCATTTACTTCTAGCGGGGGCTTCCAGCTCAACAACTACGAAGAACAAAATTATGATATCTTAGTATAACTTTGGTTTTAGTCTCTTTCAATTGCACTTACAATTTTCGAGCTGTCTGTGGAGCGCGCACTTATCCGGCGGACAATCGATGGTTTCAAGGGCATCGTCTGGAAGCGTATTATGTCGCTCTGATAGTTCCGTTTCTCCGACGAAATTGTCATCGTGCGTATATAAAGTGCATATTTGGTATAGGGCTGCATTTTGTCAATAAAACGCATCTTGTCCTTGCTTAGTTCGCCCACAACCCAGCTGCGAAGAGAGATGGAAGCACGATCGTATTAAATTGATTAAACTATTTAGATATAACGCACTTATCCAAGCAGGGTTGATAGTTATCCCTAGTGACATTGCCATACGGATCGAATGTGAAGTAGCTCTGATAACCAATAAATGAGCGCTCATCGTCATAATTCACGGGATCGATTTCGATTGTAATGAACGTAGCCCCCAATTGTATGATTTTTACATTCAGCCATCTCGTGTTGCCTGCCAACAGAGTTTACAGATAAGTTTTATGGAGAAAGAAGATACTTTGTAGCTAAGAACATACATGTGCCCTTGTTGCCATTTGAATCCTCGGCCACCTCGTTTTTATTGAATTTCTCCGGTTTTCCCGGCAGCATGGGTCGCAGCTTTTCGATAGTTTCAATGCAAAGTTTGGGATTGAAGTGAAAGAAGATGCTGCCGTTCCTAATAATGACTGTTTGATTCTCGGCCCAAATTGTCTCTAAGTCTCGATTCTCCAGCACGTACATAGCATATATGTCGTCCATTAGCTTCTCGCCCTTAATCTCTCGCAAACTCTTGAAAAAGTCCAGCGTGGTCAGGCCATAGGTCAAATGGACCTTCAGAAATAAGTTGATCGTATGCACCATGCCCAGACCGAAGACCAGAGCATCAACCATGTGAGCTATGAAAGGAATGAGAAATGAATTGAGCTTTAGACGCTTGGATACGATGAGTAGGTGGACTCTCGAGAGACTCACGTCCGCCACGCTTGATGCTGATGGTTAGACCATCTTTGACGATTACAGTGCATCCGTGATACTCCTTGGCTTTCACTAGACTGTCAATGGTGCCGCCCGGGCATTCCTTCTGACAAGTGCCGTTGCACTTCTGGCAGGTGTTGTTCATAATCGTGTAGCCCTTGTCGCAGCGCGTCGTGCACTTGCCGTTGTAGTGCACCAGCTTCATCTGGTTACTGCTCTCGTATTTGGTGCCAATCTTCTCACACATCTCAGCCGTAATACACCGTTGCTCGTACTAAAAGAGGAATATTAAATATGAAGCAATATATAGGGTAGGAGCATTCTATTACGTACCAGAAAGTAGCCATCGGGGCATTGATCAATGCAATTTCCGCCGTTAATAGAAACATTGCGACAGGCAACGCAATCGCCCAGCAGAGGATTTGAACAGCCGCCCAGACAGGATTCGTTACAACAGGTGTGCTCGTCGATGCAGTTGTAGGGGCACTCCTTGGGACAAACTACACAGAACGAGAGGGGAGAGCATCGTCAACATTGGGACATTCCTTGCAAGGTTCTGACTATTTAGCTCACTTGTTTGGCAGGCGCGACTGTTCCAGCAATAGCGCTTGTTACCGGGGTACTCCTTGCAGGCGGGCACACCGCTGGCATCAGACATACTGTTCTCCTGTCCATCGTCATTGATCTCGCCAGGGCAGCGTGCGCACTCGGCCTCATTGCGATTGAACTTTAGCACAATATCCGAATCTGTCGCATTCTTTGAAACGATCTTACGCCAATTGACTGTCTTTACGAAGCACAAGTACAAGTTCCTTTCAATGCGCACACCTCCATTCGTAATCGCACGCAGATTAGACAATCCAATATCCAGAAGATCCCGGTTCTGGTACACCACCAAGGCATAACTTTCGAATAGTATATTTCCCCGGATAACACTCAAATTGGGAAAGATTTGCGATAAAGAAATCAGATTTTGCACACGAAAAACTAATATATAGCCTGTGACCTCGGTGAGCAGGGGATAGGTCGTGTTCAATTTATCCGCATCGTTGATCAGTGTTATAAGCAGAAAACCCTCAATGATCGTACAGTTAGCCAGCTGCTTCAGCTCCGATATATTATTACGTATATCCATCGATTTACAGGCTGTTTTTTTTTTGCAAAATTAAACAAATACGATAATAAATAGAAATATAACAAAAGCTAGGTAATACATATATGAAGAAAGAAATGCATACTGACTCTAAGGCATACTTTTTAAATAGACAACTATTATATAACATATTCTACAATGGCTGGAATTAAACTCAACATCCTTAAAGCAATGGGAACTCCGTCCGATCTCAGAAGTTTTGTGAATTATTATATTTCTGTTAGCCAGCGCATTTCATCTCCAAAACAGATTGTTGAACTTTGGAGGTGTCGATTTATGCAAATATAGAAAACATTTGACCATGTTTGCATATTTACTTAATTGACAATGATTCAATTGAATATGTAGACAAATAATCCATTTAACTATTAAATAAAGCGCTACCAGCACATGATACATTGAAATCCAAAGTCAACATATTCGCAGTTGCGACTGAATATTATTAAATGAATTCAATTAAAATTAGTTAGTATTAAAAAAAAGAAACTAAGTAAGATCGGACGAGGTGTAAGGTAGCTTCCAGACGGGGAGCTAGTAGCTTTTATTCTTTATTCGAAAACAACAAGGGAGGACTTTATTCATATAACACTTACGCATTTCCCTTCGCGCCAATCGCACATTGCTGTTACTATTCCTGTTTATTACGTTACTGCTAGTGCCAAAGCCATTGGCGTTACGCGTCGACCCTGTAAAGGACACCAAGCTGTCCTCAAAGCTTCGCCTCGCTGTTAATGGAACCTTCTGCAACTGCTGTTGATCCTGCTGTGTAGCCGGCGGCGGAAGCATGGCAATCGCTGTTGTCGCTTGCAATGCCAACAGAGCGAGTATTGTGAATGCAATGCTCTGGGTCTGATGGCGCTTTGACGGATGCTGCTGTAGCTGATAATATGGGAATTGGTGATACTCTCGCCTGAATGCCTGTGCTTGTTCTTGCTGCTGTTGCCGTGTTGATTGCAACTGCTGTCTCCGTCGCCTTTTGAACACAATGCAACAATGTTGCAGCAGCATTCGTTGTTGAACAAACAGAAACAATTGCAGTGTGACCAGAAGACTTAGGCAATCGCTGTAAAGTTTTAAATATCGACTCTTTTTGTTGTTCCTGAAGTTGTTGTTGATGTCGCAGGTGTTGCTGGTGTTGCTGGTGTTGCACTGGCAATTGACTGCTGGTGCTGTTTGTTTTTGGTTATGGTCATTTATACTATTGCTACCACTACTTTCTACTCCGCTTCTCCGACTACGTCTATTACTCGTTGTACAGCAAATCGCTCTCTCAACAAGTTGCTGATGTTGTTGACGACGTTGCCTTTGATGACGTTGCAGACAGCTGCAATGCTCCGAAACCTCCAGCTTGCTGGGGAATGTTGTTGATGATGCATCGCTGTTCCTGCTACTGATACTACTTATACTGCTATTGTTACTGTTGCTGTTACTGCTATTGTTACTGTTGCTGTTACTGTTACTGTTATTGTTACTGTTACTGTTACTGTTACTGTTACTGTTACTGTTACTGTTACTGTTACTGTGACTGTTTCTGAATTTGCACTGGCTGCTGCTGCTGCTGCTTGGATAGGAACTGCTGCGTGTTGCTGTCTGCTGAATGCAGCAACATTCTGTTGTTGCTGGCACTTGTCGGCATATGACACAAATATTGTCATATGCTGTTGATGCTGGCGTTTTTGACAATGGCGTTGCTATTGTTGTTGCTAATACGTCACCTGTTCTCGTTGGCTTTGTTTTTGTGGCACAGCAACGTGTTTGCCTTAACGTTACAAATTTGATTCTATCCGAAATCCGGTTCAGCTCTAGGCTCTTACTAGCAGCTGACTTCCAGTAAAACATTTCAACCGGTAAATCTCTTAAATCCATGTTGTTTCTCAATTAAATTTAGGTTATTTTTGTATATCAAGTATTGAACTAGGGGCGATTGCCCGTTAGGTAATCATCACTCTTGTTTACTCTCTCTCTCGCTCTTCGTCCCTCTCTTATATCTGTATTTGCTGGAATGATTTTCGTCGTCAATGTTGTTGTTGTTATTGTTTTGTTGGTCGAAGCTGTAATGAAAATACAAAAGTGGAAATGTTATTAGGTTTATTTTACAAACAGAGCAGCGAGACAATACAACTCCCGCTGCGCACGTATATGTGCACATGTGTTTATCTGCATGAGTACTAGAGCGACAAGCAATAACAATAATTTTATGCGAAAAAGGGCGCCAACTGGTCGACACACGTGTCGCGTCAACGTCAACGTCAACGTCAACGCCAACGTTAACGTCAACGCAGACGCAGAGGCAAACGCAGACGGCTCGTTATCGCTTCAGCGTGACCAAGCACACACACTCCATTGAGCTAGCTAGCATTCGTAATTAACAGAGTATAATCCATATTTTCATACACACTCACAAAAATTTGGGTTCGCAACATTTATATTTTAAGTGTTTATTCAACATTTCGGTAACATACAAAGATGCAACACGCTTTAACACAGCGCATAATGTTAGCATACCCTGAACCCATTGTCAATGGCAAAGCAGGGTATAATGGTTTTGTTGAAATTTATGTATCATACAGAAGGAGGTGAGTGGTAAAATATATACATGCCCTGTCCGTCTGTCTACCTGTCTATCAACTCGTCGATCTCAGAAACTTTAAGAGTTCTAGAGGGTTTTACCGCTTATAATGCATTATTTTTAGTTAATCCTTAGAAGTAGAGTTTCAAAATTTTTTCGTAAACATGCATGTGTATTTTTATTGGACTTTTATTTCTAAATACGAACCCTAAATCCACGCAAATAGCAGACTTGTTTTTTTTTTTAAATAATATTCTGAATGTTTGATTACCAAAAATTAGTAAGTAGATATACAAGAAAAAGTAACAATTAAATTGCAGGCCAAGCGCAGTCGGTGAGTCAACTGCGCCGTTAGCAGAGCTCGTACATGTATCGTTTCCTATGTAGGTATACATAAAACAGGCGCATGATATCAGTTCTTTAAAGGGTCCAGGGTATCTAGCAGTCGAACATTTTTTACTAGAGCTTTCTTACTTATTAAATTATGTTACTCAGATTATATATAATTTAGAGCTTTTGCCAAATTTGTCTTTTCAAGAAAATACATTTAAACAAGTAAGGAAATTCTGGTCGGGAGTTCTCGACGTTCAAATATAATCCCGATGCAAGTGCAAACATTAAAATTCGTTAATTTTTTTTTTTTTTTTTTTTTACATAATGAGCTGCCAGACTTAGATTTGTCACCTAACATGCCAGCAGTAAGACGGTGCGGTATTAATGCACTTATCGGGGATATGTGAGCATCATTCATATTGAAGTTCTATGTATTTTACGTTAAACATTTCATTTTTATATGTACATATATGGGTACTAGTGTAACTACGGGTGTTATGCTTATATTTAAAACTGCATGTCAGTCTGGGTTGAGGGTATGTCCCAGTCAGGCATCCCCGAAAAGAGTCTTCTTACTTGTTATACCCTGAACCCATTTTCAATGGGAAATCAGGGTATAATGGTTTTGTTGAAATGTATGTAACAGGCAGAAGGAGGCGTGGTAGACCCCACAAAGTATATATATTCTTGATCAGGGCGACGAGCTGAGTTGATTTGGCCCTGTCCGTCTGTCCGTCTGTCCGTCCGTCCGTCTGTCCGTCTGTCCGTATGTATGAACGCGTCGATTTCAGAAGATATAAGTGCTAGAGACTTCAAATTTTTTTTAAATTGTCCGTAATTACAGCGCGCATATCAAGTTTATCATTAAAAATCGATAACTCATCCCGATCTTTTTTTATCGATAAAAAGCCTTATCGAAAACCAGTTATAAAATTATATCTTCTACACCTTTATTGCTAGTCTCCAAATTTTTTATGTATGCTTATATGCAATTTATGCAATTTCGGTTTTTGTTAAAATTTACCCCCCACCCTTAAATTCACCCCCTCACCCTCACTTTTGTAAAAAGCGTATTTCAAATACTAGAGACTTGTGCTTTGGCAATTACATGCATATTCATGTTATAATCATAATCTGAAAGTTTCATGAAGATCGTACCTTCATAAAAAAAAGTTATTAAGCAATTAAGTTCTTATAGTAAGCGCACACTGCAGCCCATGCGTGTTTATGCGTGGGTGCTTGTGTGTGTATGTGTGTGTATGTGTTTGTGTATTGTATGAATGTGTTTGTGTGTGTATGTGTGTATGTGAGTGTGTGTATGCGTTTGTGTCTGTATGCATGTGTGTGTATGTATGCCTGTGTGTGCGTACGTGCGTGTGTGTGTGTGCGTGTTTCTTGTATAAGCTGAAAGACGCGAAAAATTATTGAAATATCTATTGCTCCAAGGGTTCAGGGGATCTCGTAGTCGAGCAGTCTCGACTAGAGCTTTCTTACTTGTTTTATACATGATTTGTATAATAATGTGATGTCGCATTGCTCTATTAGGCGGCAGAGTTCTGCTTAACGCCGAGGCACACACACATGCATATGTACACATATATGTATTTATATATGTACACATATGCAGATACACACATATATACCTGGCAATAATTTTATGCGGCAAAAGAAACAAGAATAAATAAAAGTGATTACTATTGTTGTTGCTCTTGCTGCTGCTGCTGGCGAAAAAGCATTGACGTTTGTTTGCATGACGTCTGGCCCCACCGCACTGACGCTCGAGCTTGGAGAGCGACTGCGACTGCGACTGCGACTGCGACTGTGACTGAGACAGCGACAGCGGTCGCGACGCTGGGCAACGCATCTATTGTAAAGCGTAGAAAATAGTAACAAGTAAGAGCGCTCTAGTCCAGACTGCTCGACTAGCACATACCCTCGGAAAGCTGATATCGTACTGCTTACACCTCATATACTAAATTAACATTTGTGAGTTTTTAGCATTTGTGATATACAACATTGCTAAATACATGCTAACGTGGTGCAGCACAGATCTTCATGTTCACAGAACCAATTCACCATGAATTCCCGTTTTGAATGGGTTTAGGGTACACAAATGCGTATGCGTGTAGCGCGTATTTACAACTACGTTGTAATTCATTCAGTTGACGCTGCACTCCCCCTGCCTTCGCACACAGGGTGTAGCCGGTTTTTTGGGGCGTAGGAAAAACAAAATGCGGCCGCATTGTCAGCGGTATGAGAGTTGCTGAGCGCAAAACGTGGCAACAAAGCAGAGAACCGAAAACTGTTCATAAGAGAAGCGCGAGAGTTTCCATAGAAGGAGGCGGGGCACCAAGAACACCACCCGCCTCTTGCCTTTCTTGTGCAGTAGTAAAAATGCTGCTGCGTAGTTAAAATGTACTCACACATATACGCACGCACGCACGAGCGCATACATACATACATAGATATATACATACATATAAGCACATACATAAATATACATATACATATGCTTGTGTATACAAATACTATTAGATTTTCCTATTCGTTCCTATGGGCCTGTCGGCTTGCAAATTGTTTTGGTTGCCCATCGCATGAGCAACAGCAACAAACACAACCACCTCCACCTCGCTCTCTCTCTCTCTCTCTCTCTCTCTCTCTTTCTCTCTGATACTCACGCACACGCCGAGTTCTCTCAGTCTCACAGCTAATGCTGCGGCCAGCAGTCGTTTGTTTTATTATGCTTTATAATTATTTGTTTTTGTTGCTTTTTTTGTTTCTATTTTATTGCGCAGTAAAAAATACTCCCTAATAGTCGCAATTCTCCTCCAATGGCACCATTTATAATTAGAGAAAATTAACAAATAAAAACACATCAAAGGCTTAACTGAAATAATAATAATATTACCATTTCTTTAAATCAAAAACAAAAATCTACAAATTTTGAATATTAGTCGTGCCGGTGTCTATTGTAGATTAGCTTTTGCGGTAGCGCTACAACATCTGCTGCTTCCACACTCTTTTTTATTTTTTTAATTTTTCATATTATTTTGGTCGTTTTTCGTAACATAAAGACAGCCGCATACTTGGGAGCCACAGTATCGGCATATACAACTCTATTCTGTTATACGCACACACATGTATACGTGCTAGAGCGCGTGCGCAAGGAATAGAGGGAGAACGAGAGAGAGGGAGAGAATAAATGACTGTGCTCATCAAACATTACGACAACATTGTTGCTGGGAGGGTGACCCAATTTCTCAATTTTATATTTATTTTTACTATCAGGTGGAAGCTAAAAAAAAGCGCAATATTTCCGTCTACACGTTGACAACAACAACAAAAGCGACAATGTTATCAGCTGTGCACATGGATGAAATAACGCTTCCAGTTGGCAATTTTGTTATTGTTTATTTTCGTTAAGCTCGGCCACCGGCGCCATCGTGTGCACGCGCTCGTTAAATGTTGAAAGCTGAAATTGCCACGGCTAACTGTCATTTGTTTTGATGTTATTGTTCTTCCCCTCTCTTTTTCTTCGTTTTCTACAGCTAAATGGCATGTGCATGCAATAACTTTTATTTCGCTCTCCCATTCCCCCTTTCTTTGCAAATGCATTTGTTACGCACGCGCAGCAGCTGACAGCGATGCCAAAGCTTTGGCTGGCGAAGCCAACGTCAACGCCAACGGTTGCTGCTGCTGCTGCTGCGGCTGCTGCTGATGATGATGATCGAAAGTTTCTGACTCATTATTGGTGCGACAACAACAGCACGAACAGTTTCTGAATCAACAGCAACAATGATGACGGCATTGACGCTGGCAATAACGGCAAGATCAACAACAGCAATAACAATCACCACTCTGCACTGCGGCTTCCTAAAGGCAACAACATTCCAATCAGACACAAAGTTGTCCGACCAGTTAACAGCAGCAATGACAACAACAACAACACCAACCAAAGCGAAGCTATGTACCAACTACTTCTTATGCTCCAAATCTTATGGGCATTTCTTGGTTCCATATTTTAATATATATACATTTTTTCTTCTTCGAATATTATTTTCTAAACGCTCCCAACGATATGCTATAATTGCAGATAATTCAATATTAAATAATATCAAATATATATGCATACATATATTGCAATACAGA